GACACAGGCTCTTTTACTTCATTAGCAGTAATAATGTAGAGATATTTATGACATGTGTCTTCCCTTGAGTATCTCACAGCCTAAATGGACCATCACTTAGACAAAGAACTACAATGGATCTGGTGAAATAGATACTATCATAGGAGTGTTTACAAAGACCTCAAGCCCAAGAGTCCAGCTTTTGGAGGTCATTGCCCCATTGCTCTGTAGGCCCCGAAGGGAGATGGAGCCTTCAGATGCTCTCTAGGGGTGACGGCTGGGCAAGATCATTGCCGTGTATTTGGTTTACATAAAGCTTAGCTATTATGAGGTCTTAGCCATTATGAGGGTAAATGAGGCTCACCAACCACCTCTAGCATTGTCAGCTTCACAATTTTCAACCATGTCTACGAAACGGCTCATTTTTATCATTAGAGCATTTTTTTCTTTAATTCTCTGGGCAGAAGAATTTCTAGTGTCAGAATCAATAGGACATATGCCACAGTCAGGAAGACATAAAGCCACAATGGAAAAGAGGATATTTTTCTCTCCATCTTCCTCCTCTCCTCCTTATAGTCTTCTTTCACCTTCTTCTTAAGAATATCAATTGTGAATATTGTCATGGCTAGAGTTGTAAGTCCCTTCTCCATTCTAACTCCTCTGCCATTTGGGGATATGAGGTCCTCTTAGGAAATTTTCTGCCCTGGACAAGAACTGGCTTTAAGCCTTCCTTTGGCCTACATCACACTAGCAGAGAGGTTAAACATTACTAGTAAATGAGCATTTGCCTTTGGGAGGACTGAGCCCTAAGGCAACAATGTAGGTGCAACACGAGCTGATGTTGTCTACGGGTTCAAGATGAGCTGTAGAAGAAAATTATTTTTTCATGTCATGTGGTTTCCCAGGAAAAAGTACAGAGGTTGTTTTTAATCCCAGTGATGTGCAATTTTGAGTTGCTGTGGGGCTGCACTTTGTGTGTGACATGCCCCCCGTCAGTGTGGCCCAAACTGTTTCAGAACCTGCCAGCAGAAGTGTCTTATACCCAGCCCAAGTCCCCGTCTCAGTCCTGGTCTCCATTTCCTGATGCTCCCATTTTTCTGCTTGATTCAGATCACCTTAATCTCACACCTCCCTCACCTTACACCCGCCCTGTCCTTCTCAGAAGAGAGTCCACGGTGAGCCTGAGATGGCAGGTGAGCCTGAGGTGACAGAAGATACTTGAACCTATGGCCCAGAGCATGAGGTGACTCCAAAAGTGGGGCACTTTGAAGATGTTTCAGGAGCCCTGACATCCTTGAGGAATCTGGAATAACATGTGGAGAAGAAGTCTACCCGGTTGGTCTGAAATGAGGATTGTATGACCTCATAACATGTATGTTAGCTCTGGGACAGGAATTGCTTTAACTGAGGTCCAGCTTCAGGCTGAGCCTTCTGAGCAAGGCATATTAGTAATGAATGAGCAACAAGTAAACGAGGACCTGCCCTCCTCCTTAGTGACTTATGACTGATGCTGCGAAAAGGGGAAGATGAGATGAGCAGGCCTGCAAGCAGTGTGCTAGGAAGATATTTATTCCTGGAGTTTGTCATTGTCTTGTTTTGGCAATTAAGTGCATCGATTTGGATAAACAAATCCATGGTTTGTACTATATGCTCATCATTGGTCCATGCAAGGTCCTCTTAATTAATTTATCCAACTGCTTATCTATCTATCTGTCTATCTATCTATCTATCTATCTATCTATCATCTATCATCTACCTATCTATCTATCTATCTATCTATTTATTATTTAAATAACAAATACAAAAATCCACCACACAAGTGAAACAAGAACTCTAATAGTAAGGTACATATAACTTACTATGTACCTTATCCCCTACCAGCTCCTGCTGCTGTAACCACCACCTTGAATTTGTACTTATCATTCTTTGCTTCCTTCTTGTATATTTTTTTTATCACATTTAATATTTGTATTCCTAAATGGTATTATTTTATTCTATTTTCAAGTCAGATTTCTTGAGGTATATTTTACAAACAGAAAAAAATCACCCATTTAAAGTATGCAATGCTATGGGCCTTGACTAGCATACACCAATGTGTGTACACCACTACAATTAAGATAAAGAACAATTCCATCCCTGGAATATATTTCCTCATGACCCTATGGAGACATCACTCCTCAGCCCTCCCCCATACCAGACCTTGGAAACTACTGATCTATTTTCAGTCCTTATAATTTTATCTTTTCCAGAATGTCATGTCATTGGAATCATATACTATGTAGCATTCAAAGTGGTTTTTCCCCCCACACATAGAATGATACACTTGACATTTATTCTGTTGTTTCTTATATTAGTAGTTCGTTCCTTCTTTATTGCTAAGAACCATTCCATTGTATAGATGTATCACATTTTTTAATCCATTCACTTGTTGAAAGACATGAGCTATTTTCAGTTCAGGGCAATTATGAGTAAAGTCACTATAGACACTGACTGACGGGTGTTTCTGTGAACATAAATTTTATTTCTCCTGGTAAAAACCTAAGGGTAGGGTTTCTGGGGCAAATAGTGTATGCTTCATTTTTAAAGAAACTGACAGACTGTTTTCCAAAGTGGTTGTACAATTTTGCTTTCCTGCCAGTTCTCACGGAAGACCTACTTGCTCCACAACCTTGCTTGTACTTGGTATTGTCAGTTATTACTATTGTTATTATTTATTTTAGCCATTTTAATATGTGTAAAGTGGTATCTCATTTTGTTCTCAATTTGTATTTTCCTAATGATGGTGTCTTTTCATGGGCTTGTTTGCCACCCATATACCTTTGTTGAAATGTCTGTTCACATATTTTGTCCATTTTTAATGTTTGTCCATGTTCTTATTATTGATTTTTAGAATTTTTATATATTATGGACATACGTAATTCATCAGATAAGTATTTTTAAAATATTTTCTCCAAGTCTTGACTTTTCTTGGCATTTTCTTAAGTGTCCTTTAAAAAGTAGACATTTTAAATTTTGATGAAGTCCTATTTATCAAGATCTTTTCTGAAATGCCCCCTTTTGGGTCATACCTAACATTTTTGGCATACCCCAAAGTCACAAAGATTTTTTTCTTGTTTTACTTTAGAAGGTTTATGTTTTACATTTTGAACCATATACAGGGTATCCCAAAAAATGTATACATACTTTGAATAATTATAAAAGCAGTTTTTATTAAAATACATTTCATTTTCAAAATGTAACAGAAGCTGCAGACTTTGAGTGTATACATTTTTTGGGACACCCTGTATATTGAGTGAATATTTATATGTAGCATCAGGTACAAATCATTTTTACATATAAGGATGTCCAATTGTTTCAGCACCATTACTTTCTTTTTTATATATGTTTTTATTGATTTTTAGAGCGAGAAGAAGGGAGAGGGGAGAGAGAAAGAGAAAGAGAGAGGACTATTGAAATATCAATGTGAGAATGAAACATCGATCAGCTGCCTCCTGTATGCTCCCTACCAGGGATGGAACCCACAACCCAGGCATGTGTACTGACTGGGAATTGGACTGGCAACATTTCGATGCACTAGACGATGCCCAATTAGCTGAGCCACACCAGCCAGGGCCCTCAGTAGGGTCTTAAAATAACTCATGGGATCACTATGCTTCAGTGTGGTTGAGTTTTAGAGTGAAGTGAGAAAAACAAAAGTGTCTAAAGGTAGGAAGCTAGTCCTATAGTTTTGAATGGTCATTAAAGGGCAAATACATATCCTATAAAAAAGAATCCATTCAAAATCATTTAATTAACTATGTGTGCTGCTTTATCACCTGCTTTTTACCAGTTAACAAAAGGCCATGAACATTTTTCTTTATAAGAAAATATAAATCCAGGATATGATATTATTACAACAGCAAAAATTATGTAGATTACATATGATTTATTAAAGTTCATAGCCCTAATTATATTTTTTTCTATAGCTAGATAGTATCATAGATTCCAATGTGCAAATAGTTTTGAGTTTAGGTAAATTCAGTAAGAAAGAAATACACATTTTTAAAACTGGTCAATGTCCTTAGTTGTCCATCAGCACCTAGCCGGGTCTGCTCCCTTCATGCCTGAAACTCCATGCTGCTCCCTGGATGCCAGGAGGTCATCCGAGGGCTCACTCCACAAGACAGGGCCCTGTACCAGTCCTGTCCCTTGCCCACATCTCATTGCCAGGAGCTCACGGGGAAGTAGTCACTTATTTCTGAAGGTCATGGTCACTAGAACATCCTGGAGACACTGTGCACATTAAATTATATGTATCACTTGGAATTGTTTTGTAATTTATTAATTGCCCATGTGGGTCTCTCGGTAGAATGCAAGGACAGAATGTTTTCATAGCCATCCTTGCTCCCAGGACAGTACCTGAGACGGGCTGAACCGAAGCATGGCAGCTGGGAGAAGGCAGGAAGCAAGGAAGGAAGGGGAGTGTCAGGCTCCAAGGAAGCCCCGGGGGGAGTTATGTGGACAGTCATCCTGCTTCCTGGTTGAACCTCATTAGTTGGACCTTATGCAAGTGCTCAGGGAAAAGGCTGGGAGCCTAGTCCTGGAGGTGCACCGGCTGTCCCCTCCCCCTGCTTGTGAAAGCAGCGCATGATCAGGCCCTGCGTCACAAACCCAGCACAGGATAAAAGGGCTCCTTCCCGGGGCTCCCCATCCACAGCCTCCACGGGAACAGCTTCTCCTGCCTCCTCTGCATCCGGTGAGTGTCTGGAAGGGGACAGACCTCAGCTGGGAGTATAGGAAGAGGGGCTCAGATCTGAATGGAACCAGAGAGAAGAGGCCCACAGTGGGCAGCAGTGGAGGGGGGTCAGGGATGATGGTGAGGAAGGAGCCACTCAGGCACCTGTCAGGGGGCTGTGAGCCCCAAAAGCCAAGGTCCTGAGGACTCCTTCCCATTTC